GCCAGCAGGGGGCGCTCACCCTGCGGCTCATGTGGGTTCTAATGCCCCAGTATAGTGACAGGGACACTGTACAATAAAACATTGCTGTTATTCGGCTGAGACATAAAGCCGAGGTCCTGACTCTCTGTGGTCATTAAAAATCCCAGGGTGTTTCCTAAAAAGAGTAGGGATGTTACCCTGGTGTCCTGGCCTCTGGCCTTTACCAATCGCGGCATCCTAATGATCCCCATCGATGAACTGGCCTCATCACTCTGTCCACCTCTCAGGAAGGTTCAGGATCTAGCTACGGTTGTGCTATCGCAGTAGAGATCGCTGGGCTATGAGCATGTCCGGGCTCTCACTGCTTTGAGGCCTTCTTTGTAATCATCAGAACAAAACAAGTGACAGGAACAGCTTTTCCTGCAACTGTGATAAGATCAGCTTGACTTACGGTATATTGGCTAACGTTTCGCAACTGGATCAGGCCACATAACCTCCATTATCTTCTGCCCTGAAGTCTGTGGCACAACTCTTCCTACTGACTAACCCCAAGGAGCGACTGCAGCACAGTTCCCATCCTTGAGGTGTTCAAGCAGCGAGCTCAGAATAAGACAGCCTATGTACAGTAAATGCTTTTAGAATCTGTCTGAAAACAACTCATGCAATGCAGGGAATAAACTTCCAGGCCTTTTTTTTTTTGCAAGCCTGTACTGACCTCCTATTTTACAAATGCATAGAAATGATGACTTTTCCACCTGAGACCTTAGCCTCACTCAAACCAACCCCCCACCCCCTCCTGCTCCTCCCCCCTGCCTCTCCGTATTTGGAGAACAGACACGTATTTATTTGAATTAAACAGCTGGGAGCAGTGTGATATTTGACTGGTATTAGAAAGAGTGTGTGGGAGGCTGATAATACCTCAGGTTTTATAAAATAGTGTTTAGTCCTGTTGATGTGGGGATTTCTGGTGTCTCCTGTGAGAGTCAGATATAGTTAATTTCCTGCACAAGCTGGAGGCTGGGCCACACAGATATTACTGTGTTATTTAGAATAGAAAGGTCAGGTATGAGATTGAATAGTAATTGACAAAAGAAACAACTGGGGATACCAGGCAGTCGGCACCAATGACTGGAATTAAAATGATTTCTCTAAAGCTGTCTACATGTGCTTTCCTTTGTTCTAATTATTTTGAGCACATAAAGGGTTGTGCATGCATGGTGCTGAACTAAGTGAGGATTTTTAAATGAGCTTCAGTGGTCAGTAAGTTCCCGTGCATAAAAGTTATCATCCTCATTCTCAGTCTCAGGGGGGGTTTGAAACATATATGTACCGAATATAAATTAATTGCTTATTCACGCAAACATGCATTAATAAACAGTGCAAACTATTTAAATTTTTACAACAATAAGAAGAGCAGCACAGTGGCTTGACCCTTAACTGTATGACCTCCACAGCTCTTAGGTCCCGAGTCTGATGCTGGACGGGGCACCTTGTGTGTGGAGTTTGCATGTTTCCTTGTGTTTTCTCTAGGTGCTCTGGTTTCTTCTCACCTCCCCTAGAAATGCTGGTCAGGCTAGGTGGCGTCTCTTAATTGTTTATTTTTGGGTTTTATATAACTATGTTTATATATAAAGGTATATTTGCATGCATACAGTGTCTTTACGTAAATACATGTAAGGATAAATGGCTCTTCATGTTTAATTGTATGTCATTTTAGTTTTATAGAGTCACATTGAAAGATAAAGAATTTAAAAGGCTGCATTTTTTGCACCCTGGCCAAGGATCTCCGTCCCTGAAGGTCTGGCTATTCTTTTTCAAATAAAGCCGTGTATTGAGAGTATGAAAAATATTGCACTGTAGGAATGTAAATAGTTGCCATCAATAAACATCACCGGTTTAGATTAAATTTATCTTCTTCACTTAATGCGTTTCACAGATGCCTGTCCCTCGGCTGCTGACCTTTCCAGTGAAGCTCCTGAAACAGCAGATATTGCAAAATACTTTGTTTTGTAGGCAATTTATTTACGAACTGCAGACTGTAAAAGAGTTTATTAAAAGAGCTACTGAAATGTCAGATTACTCCTAACCATGAGAGCCTTCTGTTCCACTGCATGGAGTGACAAGCCAACAACGGCTCCCAATATAAAAATCTTTGTATATCAAATTCTGACTTTGATTCCATAACATGTATTGAAGTGGTTTTGTCTGTTTGGATTAAAGGTCAGTACCATGAGAACACTTACAAATGACAGTCAGTCCTTCTAGCCTGTTTGGTGTCAGTAGCTAATTGGTATGAGGATCTCATCCAGGTGTTTCTTGAAAGAAGCCTGGGCATGGGTTCCAACAACATGGCTGAGCTTCTTGTTCCAGCCTCCCACCACTCTCTGTGTATTAGGCTGGTTATTGAAGTCTACGTTTTACTCCATGTGAGTGATATGCCTCTGCTGTGTATTGTACTGAGCTGTAGGTAGGTTTCACATGATTTTCTGTCCAGCTGTAAAGTCACTTAGTGGCAGGATATGTCAACTCCACTTCTTGTATACAAAAGGAATTTTATAGTTTTTTTATGATTATCTGATTTTCTGCATTGCATGAAAGTGGTCAACGTACCAACAAAAAGTATAGTAAAATGTTGAGAAAACAAGATTCCTGCCTGCCAGATATAAAAATTTGGATTATGAAATAAATGAATATTTTACTATATTAAATTCTGTAATAATAGCAAGGAGAAAAGATGTATCTGCAAAGGGTTTTAAAATACACACGTAACGCTTTCCATCGTCTCCTACAAGCACAGGAAATTCCTTTGATATCAACACGACGGCATTCCCATGCGATTATAGTTGATCACGTCTCAGCTGTGTCACTCCCACAGTCCCTGTCGTGTTCGTCATTCTTAATCCCAGAGTTGTTTTTTTTTTTTTTTTTTAGTTCAAAAAGGACCTAGATTGGTAGAACTGAAACTGAAATCCTTCCTCATTTATCTGCAGGAGAGAGATAAGTGAGCTTCCTCACATCCCCGGGTGAGTGCGCATAAATCTTGCCTTGGAGGGACCAGAATCTCTAAGGCTGAGGGAGTGACTCTTCGCCCTTGCCAGTCCCAACTTCTCTTTGGAGAACGGAGAGAAAAGGCATCCCGTGCTCTCGGTATTAAAACACAAAGCGTTAATTGTAGGAATGCCTGCTGGGTAAAATAATCACATCCCTTCATCCCCTCCTCACGCTCATAGCTCAGGGCAACTCCTCAATTTTGTAAAGAATTACTGCACTCAAATTGCACTAAATTTCTCTTTCACAGACTCAGGATTTTCAGTTTGCAAGACGTCACAAGATAGCCTTTGATCCGCATAGAAAGAATATCATCATCATCATTCCATCTATGCATTCTTGTTTTTAGGAAAATAAAGTATATGGATTTTGAACACATTTTGAACAATCTTGATACTGTAAAAATGTTTTTTGGCATCATTCTGATTACTTGATTCAGCCGAGTGGCTCAGACTGTTGGGTTGTATGGACACCCAGTCACCTCATCAGAGAGAGAGCTGACAGGTCACGTGATGAGGGTATTTAGACTGCTGAATGTCAGGCCTGGTGAAAATCCAAAAAGAAACATACAGAAGGGAACTTGATATGCGCTGCTTGTCCTGAGAACAGTGCCTTTGTGCCATAATGTTGGAGGCCAGGCTGTCAGCACACAACCACTCTCTGTCTGTGGGTGCTCACAGCCTGACAAGACCAATCAAACACAGTTCATCAATATCAGGTCATGATCTGGGAGACCACAAGTTAAGACTCCACGCCAAGATCAATGGAGAGGTCCAAGTGCGATGGTCTGGGCAGGAGTGTTTAGTGGGTACAGGACACTACTTGCAGTGATTAATGGCAGCCTGACTGCCTAGCAATACACTGATCGAGTCATGACCGAGACCTGCTGGCTCATCCTAACAGGACAGGGGCCCGTGTAACAGTGGCTTTCCTGCATGGTGACGAAGTGACTGTTGTGCCATGTGTTTCCTCCTCACCAGACTTGAGCCTCGTTGATCATTCATGGGATGCGCTGGAATGATAAGTGCCTGAGAGACCAGCAGGTGCAGAAAACATCTGCAACCTGGTACCAAGCCTGCGCTCGATCTCAAACTTGTATTGCTTTGATGGGTGGCCGCACGCACCACCAGCCTTTCAACCTTCTTGTGACTTTCACATCAGAACACCCTAGTGAGTCATAGTGATGACAAATGCTGACCAGCATAATGACTTTACCTGCATTATGGCCGTATGGGAAATGACACTGCATCCTTCACAGTTCTTTGAATGAAAGCAGCTATTCCAGTGCTCCGTGAGCTACAGTATATGATCTTTCCTTCGGCTTGATGCCGGGTGGAGACCTCTCTGCCATCTCTCCAAGCCCCGGGCTCCGAGATGGCCGCTGAAGCCAAGAGCCTCTTTAGACATTTGCAACCCTGTGCACAGGGAGCTCAGCTGTTATTCCAAGCGCAATGTTGGCCGTCTAAGGTGCAGTAGAATTCAGAGCTGTGTGTCACTCTCTGCTATGGACCTATCCGTTCATATTCAGAGGTTTTCCAATTTCTTCAAAAGTGGGTAGTAAAAAAATGGGTGGACGTGTGATTTTCAATCAAGGCAGCTTCAAGAAAGCACTCCCCTGGCCAGCTCAATTATCTCAATTGAATCATCTCGACCTCGCTTGCAAAAATAAAACGCAGCTCTCTGCGAACTGTTAATCATAAATACCAGTAACCACCTTTATCATTGGCAGCTTCAAAAATCTCCATTAAGCAAGAACCTGATCATGCTTAAGATGGCTTTTCCCCTCATGACTCAAGCATGCAAGGTCTTCGGAGCCGAGTCTCCTCGTATAGGCACTGGCTCAAAGGGCTGATGGCCTATAGCTGTTCTTCTGTGTGATGTAAAACACGTTGTGTAAAGAATCAATAGGAAGATTCCTAAAAATTAGGAGGGAGCACCACTAATGTCAACAATAAACACCAATACGCAATGCGTGCAACAAAAGAAACTATTTATTTGGAATATGCATTACCAGTACAAATTAAAAGACCATAAAACCTACACCTTGTTAGTTTTTTTTTTTCACAGAACACAAGATTTTTAAGTTGGAATCAAAAAGACACTAGTTTTGTGTTTTCATTTTTATATCTTTTTACATATGCAGAGATCTTAAAAGTTAAAACTGCGCCAGAGAAGGGCTCAGTGATTTCACACTCTGAAGTCGTTATAAAAAAGAAGGAACATTCAAAAAACACTGCAGTATTTTTTTTAAAGAACAAAAGACATGCAACAAAGAAAACATTTGATGTTTTACAAATTGCTCAGCTTTTTTTTCTTTTTTCTTTTTCTTTTTTTGCAAAAACTAAAAGCATCATTACATGAAGCTTTTAATTATACTGTGGTAGAGGACAGGCAATGTGAAAAGTCCAGTTAAAAATGGGAATAACCAAGAGCCCTCTGTGTTGAAGCAGGCTCCTCATGCAAACTGAATTAAAATAAAAATATACTGTAGTTTCACAACAGTGTGGCAGGGAACGGGAGTTTAATCTTCTACTGAGCAACACAAGATCGTCTTCATATCATAATTAGCTGCAACGAACTATCCCTTAACACACAGGATATAAACATGAAGGAACGCCAGGGAACAAGATGTTTAACCTTATGTCTAATAATGCAGCTCAAATAAGCGTATTGGCATCCTATCTGTATCAAGTCCAATGTTTTAAATAACTGAAATATGGCTATTCTGAGCAAAAAAGCTTAAAAGTTAGAATTCGTGAGTTCATTGTAACATAACATTACACTCTAGGCCTACATAGAATGTTTCTGGAATACATTTGTATTATGTTCTAAGGATATTGAGTGGCAAGTTAGGTTACTCTTAAACACGTTATTGAAATCTCTTATCGATCTAAAGGTTTCCTGGAATTTTTAGCTGTACTTTTGTGACTCCATTCCAGCCAATCCGAGTTGCCACTAGTTTAGTGTTTTTTTCACGGGAGTTGCTGTTTTTTTTGCATGACATTGTTAAACAGGATTTGGTCTCGTTAACTACATCTTAAAAGGAATCTAAGTGTTAAAACTAACTTTTCACATCACCTTCACAAGACAGTATCCACTTTAAAAACAGGTTAATGTTTATTCTCTAGAATGTACAATGAAAATCTGCTGGATTCAACCCCTCATGTGCAAGGAATTACCCCATCCCCCCCCATCTTTATATAAAGATTTTAGCTGCACTGGATTTGCAAAATGGATACTGTCCCTTTCAAAAGAGTGAAAACAGAAACACAGGTGCACGTCTAGATATATAGAGCATTCTTGAGCTAATTCACAGATGAAGAACAAGAAAACAAATTATAGGTAGTCCTGTGCTGTAACAAATAAAAAAGGAGAAATAAATGTGCTCTCTCTCTGCAACATAAAGACACACACAAATATACCCAAACAATTTCTGTACTTCTGTGTAATTAGGGTCTCCCTTTCCTTCTTTCCTTTTAACAGACATTTCTGAGTTCTGACTGCGTTTTTGGTTTGGAGTATACGAGAACATTCACATCAAATGTTCAGCAGTACTACAAATAACAAGACACAATTTGCAAGAAACCGTGAAACAAGCGTTAATAAAGCTGACGGTGTCTAGAATTTAAACTTCTGCAGTTTTTGGTATCAAAGTCGTGATCTGGGCCGATATGTAAGATTGAGAAAGAGAAGGCAACCAGTAGAAAATTGTGTAAACTCGATAATATGTAAACGTAAATTAATAAGAATTAAAGTACTATATTTTCACATTTTGGGTTAGTTTGCTAAAATGAGAGGGATTACTCCTGGTGGATTTATTGCAGCATGGAGTTAGCAGTATCTAATGTCATATTCTGCAGTCTCGGATTCCTCCCATAAACCAATAAGAACGCAGGTGCTTTCTGGTTCAATTTCAGTAAAGAAATCTCATGACCACTATGTTCTGTGGTCATGCCCTGATATTACCTGAATTAAAAACAGAGCTGTGACTTACTGGAGAAATGCTTAAATCCTATTAGCTTAATGACTTCCACATTTAAGTAGATTCTGCCTAGATGTGATTCAATGTGCTGAAAAAAACAAACTTAGTTACTGAAACCCTTGACAGACATAAATGTATTTCCAACAGAGATTAGTACTCTATTGCATTTTTAAAAAAACATTATTTTCAATTACCTATCACTGTGTGCCTGATATGCAGTTAGATTGTAGCACCAGAAATAACAGCAGGAAAAAACGCAAAGTATAAGTGAAGCAAATTTTGAACAACGATGAAAAAGTCAGACAAGTTCAATGCATTTCAATTACCTTAATTGTGTAGGTTGTGATAAAAAAAATAAGAAAAATATGACTTTTTACAGGTCAGAATACTTTAAAAAATGTATTCTTATGTACTTATTACATAAGTGTTTTGGTTAACCAGCAGCATTTGGCTATAGTGAGATCTCTTATGCAAAGATGTAATTTTCCCCTACACACAAACTCAAATTGGATACTGTGCGATGACAATATGAAAATGTACTAAATTACAAAGTGAAGAAGATAGGTTTCTCATTACTCATATGACTATAATTAAACACTGTTTATATGAGCCAAACTGATTTGAAACTGTAAACAAGTACTAATTGACTGAATTGGATCTTTCATACAGATGGATATATGTCTGCACTTATTACTGGGCAAAGTGTTGACAAACCATGTTGGAAATGTGGTAAGAAGATAAAGCCATCCTTTTACAGGGAACAAAGCACAATTGCAAGAAGACGCAAAGTGTTTTCTTTAGAGTAATAGCTTGGCAACAAGAGCACATGTTCTGCTGTAGACGTCACATTACAGGGAACAGTTTGCACATGGTTCGAGAGCAAAAGAAAATAAATTTAAGGACTTTTAGAATACACTGAGAGTATATGAATATATGCCTTTAAAAAAGGCAACCTTTGCAAATATACGCCAATTGCCAAATACCGTGTTTTCTGCCATGCAGTGGAATGGTAACAACTTCCATCCCTTTCTCAGACTGTAATTGATAGGCCGCCACAGTTGAGTACACCAAAATCAGAAGCACATCAGGATAGAAAATGAAAAGGCAATGCTGAAGTGAAACCTCACAGTAAGGACTAAGGACAGAGAAAAGAGAAACAAGCGTGTGTGCTTCAAACTGCTTCTCGTCGGACTTCAGGAGCACACAGATCAAACCACGTAGTGCAGCACAGCCAAATGCCCATTAAATTCATTTTCTGAACTGGGGAGCTGTGCCGAACTATTCCAGTACAGCTTTTCGCTTCCCGGTAACTAATTCCCTCTTGGAGAAAAAAAAAACAACGTAAGTCTCTTGTGCTATTCAAAAACAAGAATTGAAATGTCCCTTGCACCTACACTATAGTTGTTTTAGAATTATATTATTAAGCCCGGGGGTTCAAACATTCAGAACAATAATCAGAATATTTGCCTAACAATGATATATGCAGGATAACTTCTTTACTGTGAGCAGAAGTCTAAGAATGCCCTGTGTTCAGCTGCCTCTGCGTTAAAAGCCGATCACTGGAGAGGTGCGAACTGTATGATCTAGTAGTCACCAGCAGCACGGTTTCATTTTCTTACATCTCTCATCCTCCTGGTGTCACTAAGGACTCGCGTGGATATTTATCACTTTCAGTCCAGCCTTACCAAACGCAGGCAGTGCCGACCTTAAACCAGGCGGAAGAAGGCAACGCTATTTTATTGTATTCATTTCCAACTTCAGGGGTGATAAAGGTAAATACTTTGACATTGCATTTGCGGTTCAGGAAAAACACAGTCACAGATAAATACCGAATGAAGACATACAGTAAAAGTGTCCTTTAAAGTCTAACTTTCTGGACAGCAGAGGGTGATCTGGTGCTTTCTGCTAGTAGTAACAAAGCTTTAGAAAAAAAGTAGCTTTTTGTATGATTATTTTCTCTTTTTTTTTTTTGGCTGAGAGGTAGTGTGAAAGCATATAAACCTAAAGATAACGGTTGCCTGTAGGTATTTTACTAAGAGGGTAACCTGGTCCTCTGGCTCCACTAAGAAAACTGTACAAACACAATTCTTTGCGTGTGAAATTTCTATACTGGTTTCTGAATGTTCTTCGGTGATACAGGTTTTCTACCCAGAGACAAAAGAAGGGGTATAAAGAACTGTCAGTATTGGTGTTAATTTTTAAAGCACTCCAAGCAGAAGGAAACCCTATGTCGTTATTGGTTGGTTGACCTCCGCTCTGATTGGTGGATGCTGTAAAGAAACCCATCTTCCGGCAGAGAGCCGTGGCGAAGAGATCAGTTGGAGGTATCGGAGTGAACACTTCCGGGTCCTTCTGTTGGCGACGTCACTGATGAGGGGGTAGTAGCATCCTGCCAGCCTCCGTTTGCCTGCAGAGAAGAGCAACAAAATGCCAAGTCTGGGAACATGTTCCGCGCACAACGGAGGTCCCTTTTCAATACTAGAAATCCAAAAACAGAAGAATGTTTGTGTGCGTGTCCTGTGGGCATAATGGGCACTAGTCAAACAAGCAGAGACAGCCAAACATTAGCAAAAGCCAAAGCCGAGACTCGTTTCTTAAGACACGGCAGCGGGGTGCTGTGATTTTCAGGGGAAAAAATCATTTTTGTTCTCTCCTTGTATATTCCCATGGTTGGCAAAGGATATCATGTGATTTATTCTTATTAGAAATCCACTGCTGAAGCTGTTATGAAACACCTGCTGTTCAACTTTTTAAAATGCAGAGCATTTTCAGTCATGTCCAAATTAACATAATATTGATTTTCTAAAATATTTTTTTCTTTAACGACAACGACTACCATTGTCTTGGATACTGTTCTATTGAACTCAACCATCCTTGCAGATTAAAACACTGGACTCAGCCCTATCCCAAATTCTACACCTTCAACCACAGCCTGAGCACGGCAGAATTAAATATCGCATTTAGCCATCTTGACAGGGTGATTTACATGAAAGACAACAAACACAAATTACAATATTGAGAATGTATCAAGTCCCTTCCGAAACAAAACTCAAAAGACAAGCAATGGAAGAATCAATTATCGCAAATTATCATGTTCGAGATTGGAATGAGAATATAATGGGAAATGTGGAACCTATTTCAAATCCCTCAGACAGGCCTGCTAAAGAGCATTTGGGACATTAATAGCAATTTTCATGCCATCAGAAAAGCCTGAAAATGGTCTCTGGCAGCCCCTTATTTCAAAGCCTGTTATTTAAGGTAGAAGCAGTCTGTAATCAAAAAAACTTTCAAAATCTTCAGCTTTAGTGACACTCTACATCTATTTCAAAGCCATAATTACTGTTTCAAGATAGAGGAAGAAAGTCTACCACATAAATGCATTGTGTGTTAGCTTGGTCATTACCAGCAACTGAAAGGAGAAGGAATAATTTAGCAAAAAAGGACTCACTCTGCCACACTCAAAACCTTGCTCTCTCTCTGTAAATCGTTGTACGCAAATGAAGGTCATGCCAAACCATTTAAATGTGAGCAGTTTCATCATTGCCATGAATATTCTGTTTGGCATTACAAAAAAACAAGAATAAAGGCAATATGGTGTCGCATTGTAAAGAGCCTGAAATGTTACACATGTGCACAATACTGTGCCAGGAATTGTATTACTGCATAGACCATCAAAGTGCTCTCTGAACTTGCAGAGCAAAATGAAAAGACATCAAAGAGAAAGATTTTTTCTATTTGGTGGCCAACATTTATTTCTTAAAACTGATATGAATAACTATTACCAAAATAAATAATGCAGTGCTGTTTTTATGTTTGAAGTCTTGAGCACTTCAGATTGTGCACAGTAACATTTTTAGGATTTGTTCAGATATTCTCTTCCTGAAACGGACCTCTGGGAACAGTGGGCAGATGTTTGAACTGTTTGCATCTCTGGCCTTCACAAGCCCACGAATCAACTGTGGATAACATGCCCAACTGGGGCTCCCAATTACTAAAAACATGCCTTTTCATTATGAGACCTCAGTCAATGGGAACTGGAGGTCTCCCTGTCTCTGTGGAGCAAATGCAGCAAAGCTCTCAGCCGTTACCGACAAAACAGAAATTTCTTCCAGAAAAGCAAATCGTCTGTAATATTGTCGGAATGACTTTGACTCAACATTTTTGCAAAGACCTGTCTGTGTTTATAATTAATTTTATTGTTGCTCCACAGACGTGCTTTTGGTCCATGCGGTTTTTTAAAAAAAATAAAAACGAATCCCGTTCAATTGCAATCATTTGAGTCGGCACATGAGAACGCCAATTTGAACGCTTCTTAAACACGTCTTAAATCAGCATCATTTAAAAAATGTGAAATACAGAAAAGCAACTGTCTACACAAAGAAATTGCATATCCTGATGTTCTGTATAGTGTGCCAAAGCTAGCCTTGCTCTTTGGAGAAGCACGTTCATTAAAAGACTGGGGGAGGATTCAAAATTATTCTATCTGAGAGCGAGAAAAACAGCTACCAAGCGGCCAGTGGAGGAGGCTGAAAATCCGCTAAGAACACGTCTATGTTTGCGACTGTCCTCCTATCCCAGCTTGCTGTCAGCGCCATTAAGATGGCAGACGCGTGATCCGAGCAATGCAGTTGGATTGCTGTCCCAAATCTACACTCAGCTTTCCTTGTGTCTGTCTTATCGATTTTCCTCTCTCCGACACAGCTTGTCGCTGTGAATTTTCATGCCAGTCACAGCCGCCAGCGTACCCAAAAAAACAAGTGGAAGACGCTGTTCCCCCTTGTTCTCTCTCCACTGGCTAGCAGATTTATTTTTAGAGGGACCCGAAGCTCGTCCCGGCGGTTTCCAGCCATTGGCCCTCGGACGGAGAGTCGCGGTCCGGTCCTTGGTGACATTTGAAACTAGTGTCGCAGTAGGTGTCACCTGTTTCCCAGCTCCTCTCGGCTGAGCGCATGAGGCCGCAGGTGCCGTGCTTACACTGATTGCATTTGACAGGCTTAGACGCCAGCTGCCTGCGTGAAGCCTGCCCGATCACCACTTTTCGTGGGCAGCGCGCTGCCGATGGCGTGACCGATACAGAAGCAATCAACTAGGTGACCGTGAAGCTCAGACAAGTCCTACTAAGTGGCATTCTGAGCCCTATGGCTTTGAAATAATTGGTAGAGGGAACAAAACAAAAAACAAGCCTATTTTTCTTACATTGATGCCCTGCGGACTGTACATCTGGTTTGCTGTGAGCCCATCACTGTATCCGCCTGTCTGACTGATAACATGGCGAAGGGTATCCACCTGAAACAGGAAGAAAAAAAACAAAAACAAACACAGGGTCATGCTCCCCTCCAGATTCGGCACGGTCTTGTTTCCGGTACAGGTCAGCGTGATTGCAAATGGTCACCGATGGTCAATGGCGGATTAGACAACTAAGTCACTGGAAGACACAAGCGGCTGTGCGGCTTCCAGCTCCAGGAATGTTCTGCGAGGAATGTTCTGTATGGAATTACAGTTCCGTACGCATTCCACTCCGTACACCATAATACTGTCGTTTATTTTACATTACTACAGCGCAGGCACAAAATAATGAAAACGCTCCCAATGCAGAGGCTTAGAGTTTATTCACTCTAGGAAATGCATCTTTTTTTTCACCACAACGGGCAAGACAACTGCTCCTAATTTTCTGCGCTGCTTGATGTTTTTCAGAGGAGGACACCGCTCGTCCGGTGCTGTTTGAACAGTGAATGCACCCACCCTTGGACACACAGTGAGCGTCTCATCCTACAGTACTCTCTAGAGTCACAGTGACCTCAGCACACAGGAGAGCACTGGGCCTACCAAGCCATGCTCCCAAGAGACCTTTCTGCTTCACCTCCGGGTCCTCCGGGGGCAAGCCCCCTTACCACTCAAAGCTTTTGGAACTGAAGCTTTTTGTTGACGGGGGAGGGGGGGGGAGAATAAACAAGACAACAAGAGAAGCGTCGCTGTCGGGAGGGATTTAACTACCATCTTCTGAAGAGCAACATGGAAGAATATCTTCCCCAACACAAAGGAGAGCAGCGTGCTTCCCCAGACTGTGCCCCTGGCGTTGCCAACCGCCCAGCACAATGCAGTCAATGCAGCAGGACGAGTGTTGCTCCGGTTCCAGAAATGTCTGTGATCATTTATATTCCAAAGGTGACAAGACATACGGCAGAGATGCCAACAACACAATACGCTGAGAGCTAACAATGGGCCCTGCTGGCCGACATTGCGAAAATGAAATTCCTGGAGCGAATACTGAGGAAAGAGGAAACCTGAAGGGCTACACAGGGACTCTTGGCATTCGGGTGTTTCGTGCCGATTTGGAAACGAATTCCGAGCTTCTTTTATCCTTAAATAATTTTGGGACTCTGATGGACTCTAATGTCATGTCATCATTGGAGCTTTTTTGTCAACAAGCTCAATAGCTTTATTTGTAACGGAAATCACACAAGGTGGAATTCAGAAACAGAAACTAAGAAACCCAATTTCCTTTACGGTCAATCAGTAGCATCAGTCCCTGTGGGTGAGTGTATTTATATGTACAATAGCTATGAACAGAGCAAACTGTATCTCCTGCATTTTCCTATTAGCGCTGTTAGTGAGCCGGGTCCCAAACACTTCAATCGGGTGAACTTTTACTTCCTTCAAGGCAGCTCTGTGGGTGAAGTGGAAGATCCAAGTGCACACAAGCGTCAAAATGAGTGACGAGAGCAAGAAAAAAAAAAGTTGTAAAAAAAATCAGTCCTTGGAACGTTCCTCCTTTAAGGATTTTTCAATCTTAACTTGTACGAAAAGTTGGGATTGTGCGAGTAAACCTCCCGTGTCATCTTACGACACTAAACGTTTAGTGAATTCAATTTAAAACACCCTAAAAGACAGAACATCCACCACATTTACCGTAACGCCGATGCAGTCAGCGACTGCTGCTGACGTTGCATTCTGTAATTCTTTTGGCCAAAATCTTTTAATTGTGCTGCCAGACTTTGCCTCAGAAGCTGCAAGAAAGCTTTACAGATTCAGAAACTGGAACAAACAGTCAAGCCTTCTAAAACCCACATTCCTCTTCTGTTACATGTGAAGTGAAATTCTCCCTTGTTTATCATCCAGGACCCAAGAGGACTGCAATTTTGGAAGGGCCTTTCCTGGTGAAAGGCTTTGTTTATTGTAGAAATCTAAACCAGAAGAGAGGAGGAACTAAGAGGGTGTGTATGGTGGTGGGTGTGGGCAGGGAAAGGGGAAGCTTGAACTCTGAGAGACCTGCTTTGCTGTGAGGGTCCCTACCTGCGACTGCACGTTGGCTCCAACCTGGGCCCCTTGGTAAGAGTCCCCATTGAGTGACTGCACGTTCATGAACAAGTCTCCGGAATTTGACATGTTAAAAGAACCAGAAGAACCTGAAAGGAAAGAGTGAGCACCTGAATCACAGAGAGAAGGAGGAACGGCCCTGTGTTGGCCACAAGACCAGGTAGCCACCATGCAAAGCAGATGGTTTGTGGTGTTAGTCGGCTGTGAGTTTTGCAGAGCAGAGCAAAGCAAAGGGGGGAGAGTAAGGTCAGGAGCAGGCAAGGGGTGGGAGGGACTGAAAAGACAGTGTCTGAGAGTAGGGAGACAAGTCCATGGTAAGTGGAACACATGGGATCTAGTCCTCTTGCAGCTCACAAAGTCAACACTGCAGCTGCAAGGCAGGATGTTCAGAGGCCATTCAGAGGGAGGCTCACTTCTCGTTAAGCACAGAAAAGATCTCTGGGCAGACCAGTGTCTCATTAGACAACTTTAGGAGTAAGGGACAATGCCATAGAAGGCTACAAGACAAGTTGGCGTTTCTGTCTCCTAAAACAGCCTTACCAACCATCTGTCAATCTTTAGTTTGCAGGGTTGTAATCAAACAAACCGGAAAATATTTCTTTACACGCTAGCACTTTTGTAAACACGCTCATGTAATTAGGTGCTAATTCCACAGATTCAGCTATTTGCCTGCAATAATTTCCCCACACTGGAAAACCACAGCAAAGCTGTGGAGCGCTCCACATGTGTCGGAGGCACAGGCCTAGAGCAGGAGGACCTGAACTGAATAAATAACTCTTGTTGCAACACAGTGGCTACAAGGGCTGAACTTTGTTTTAACAGTAAGTGATGCTTAATTAAGGAACAAGTTAAGGTAGAAAAATAAAATGAAGAAATGTTTTGAGTGTTGTGCCTTCTTTAGGTGTCTAATATCTAAGCAAGTTGTACGTGACTCAAGTGCCCTGTAATCATCTTGATCACATACTGAAGGCCTTATGGAAAACCACAACAGAACAGGCTAAGAGACTCACGACCTAGTGGCCAAAACTAGATTTACCTTGCAGTTAGGTGCACGTTGACGCAGGGAAAGCATAATTTAAATCATGGAAGCTCAGCTAAGGTTAGAAAAGGGCAGTATTAGTGAACAGAGAGGATGGGGGTTTGATTAGTTAAGAGGTAAAGCAATGAAGGCCAGAGACTTGCTTTTTGGAATGGGGCCCAGGTTAGCTAATCTTTGGTCACTATAGGCTTTTTTTTTTAATACAAATATGCCATTAAGACATAAAGCACACACATATTCCAGAGTCGGTGTATAACGGTGTAGGTTTTGCTGTGAAACGTGATCCCCTTTTATAAACTTCACTCTCAGCTTCAGATGACTTCGCACTGGTTTAACGAGAACCACATGTAGCGTGTTAATAAAGACACAATATACGCAGCCTCCGCACAACCACGGTGAAGTGGCTTGTGCCCGGCAGTGCTCCTGCTCTTGTCTAGACGGGAACGCTTCCAAAACACACGTGCCATCCCTGAGGAACACCTATCCCTGCATTCCTGTCCTACGTGGACGAGATAATTACAATATTCCTCGTCTGAAGTAGCAGTGACATCGGCGCACCAGCGAAGATGTCAAAACAGGCCGCGGTGTTAACGCAGTGTGGGTGCGACTGGACTACTGCTGTGCAGGGCGACCGCGAGCTGTCTCAGCCCTGCTCCCGCCACAGGGTGCCGAAGAGGAGAGCTGCGCCGGGTTCGGGAGGCGGGTCGCACCGACCTGCCGAGTTCGGGGTGGACGGAGAGTTCGCTTGGCTCCCGTGTGCGGAGGCGTTGGTGGCGCTGACGGCGGTTTTGGCGGCGTACATGTTGGCTTCCTCTTGGAATTTACCGATGTTCTTCTTGTACCGGATCCGCTTGTTTCCAAACCAGTTTGACACCTTCGGATTGGGGGAAACAAAAAAAAACAAAGAAACGCACGCGTGCCGTTAAGCAGGTCAACGGGTCTTTGGTTCTGGTGCTCCTTTGAATCTTTGGTTCACTCACTGTGACCTATCTGTGACCTCCTGTCACCCAGCGAAAACTGCTGGCTATTAAATTGCAATCTAAATCAATTTAAAACAAAACCAAATATTTTCCTATTTTTTTAAATAGAAAATAACGCGTGCCCCAGCCTCCCCGGGTGCTGCATCTGAATTACATCAAGGTTAACATCTGTACCCGGTTCCTCGTGAGCTGAGCTCGTCTTTAAGGGCACTGCAGGGAGATAGAAGCGCAGTCTCTCTCCTTTATCAACGGGCTGCCTAATATACACGCCTGAGGCTGGTCTTCCTTAGAGGCGGAGGCAAAACTGTACGCTCACTCAGTGCAAGGCTTGGATGTCGTTTATCACATCTTAGGAAGCCTACACACGGATAAGCCTTCCGAACAAAACTGGGCAGACTGAACACAACTCGCATGCAAGGAAACATGTTGCTCCTGCTTAAAAGAATCCTTATGCTGACAGATTTATTGGTATATTTGGGACAGTAACAAACATAATACACTAGGAAATATATAAGTGCTTTTACCATATATAAGCTCGACAAAGAATAATAACTATAGTCTGTTTATTCATTTTTTTTAATACCCCATGAGAATCACTGTGCAAAATATAATCTTATTTATATTTATTATTGAGATCTACATCCTGATCTCGATGTTAATTTTCCAAGAGAAATAATAATACAAAATAAATCTACCGGGGCTTCAGCACATCCTCCTTTGGAAACGGAATCCAAATGAGAAACTTTCTTTCCACTCGATACAAATCTAATCTCGCCCTGCGCATGAACCAGACGGAGCTGTACTTCAGGTCGGAATTTAATATAAGTGACAGGGGATGGTGTGAAATCGAGAACGAGGCCGTATTCCACGAAGGGGGTCTCGTGACGTCACAGGGCCAGAGGGAAGGAGGCCGCGCAGGCCCCCCAAGATCAGCACGATGCGCGAGCCGACACGGCCTCAAAGTCCATTTCACGCGCCCGGCGTTAGTAACGCTCTCCCTAATGAGGCACGAGCCCCGTGCTGGAGGGGCTCTCCCTACGCACGAGAGCAAAGGCCACTGGGTATAAAAAAAAAACACAACCAAGGATTGAAGCCTGAATAGACTGTAACAACAAAGGCTATTATTTTTTGTTGCTTTTGGGGATGAAAACACGAACCAATTTGACTTAGAAATTTTCCCCCCTTGGCATATTTGTAAAAAATCCATCCCCTCCTTTTTTTTTTAATTTACCCATGCAGACACGTCTTGCAGTTAACGGATTGTTTCTGCGGGAACAGGACAAGGGGCGGCGGCGGTGTGCCGGCGTGGGATACCTGCGAAACGGTGATGGCACACTTCTTCGCCAGCTCCTCTTTGGCCTCCTCGCTGGGGTACGGGTTGCTGAGGTGCGAATAGAAGTACTCGTTGAGGATCTCCGTCGCCTGCTTGTTGAAGTTCCGCCTCTTCCGCCTGGGGAGAGCGCACGCACAGAAAACAGGAGAACGCTGCAGGTGTGAGCACACGCTGGTTTGTGGAAGGGGCAGCCTGTGGCCTGACAAAATCACAGCCAGTCCAATAACACACCTGCCTCATCAACACATACAAATCTCTGCCACAGGGGCGCCCAACTCCAGTCCTCTAGGACTGCTGTTGTCCGGTAAGACACAGAGGTCTCTCTTAAATCTCCAGCTTCTTAGCAGCAAGGAAAGAATCCAACCTGTCCAGTTCAGCAAGTGTTGAGTTCAATTGACTACTGATTTAAGGGCTCAGACAGAAAGAAAACCCGAAACCTTCTGGCCCTCCAGGACTGGAGTTGTGAAGCTCTAACATCACAAATTTGGAGGCATGTCTTTAAATGGAGCTCTAATCCAAACAAATAATATATTTAAATAAAACTGAATAAATAAAAACAAAAAATACAGACACATTATTTTTTATGACAAAATCATCCAGGAGGCATTCTTGTTTATAATTCTTAAGCCATTTTAAATTAAAGGAGTACATCTTATATCTACCCGGGCAGCAGAAACCATTTAGGCACAAAACATCTAGTAAGGGCCTTTTTTAAAAGCCAAAACACTGCCACGGGGATAAAAAAAATATGGCAAATCATCCTCCCTGACCTGTAACACACACATCAAACATGTAAATGTGCACAGCATGGGGGTTTTAAAGATGAAAGATTAATTAGTCCACCTAAATGTGCTCTCATTAGGTAAGGCACACTGAGCCTTCTGGAAGCCATCTAGAATTGGAACAATAGAGACTGAACACGATGCCACTCCCTCTGGCTCAGGTTTTTTTTTCACAAAATACTTTCAAAATAGAGCAAAAAATAACAAAGCAAACCCAAAATGCCAGGCACAGTGCAGAAGGCTGGAGATTTTTGCACAGGCAGCAGTTTTTGGGCTCTCGTGATTGTTAAAATTGTCGTGGGGCCTTGCCTGTGCTAATTCACACAAGTGGCGGGACGGAATAAAAAAAGGATATTGGGAATTTAATTCTCCATATTGTGCCTGACACACAAAAATGTGCAGGTCACGAAACCCCAAACCATGTTAATCAAAAATCATGGCACCAGACAGAACAAAACCCTACGATTTACTGAGCAGTACACTCGGCTTCTGGGGCCCGTACAGCCGAATCACATCCGAGCTGCTCTCTTCCACCTCTGCACACTTGCCTTGCATCAAGGAACCGGGAGCGCAGGATCATCACGGCCTCGCAAGTGCTCTGCTTCAGCTGCATCTGGATGGAGCTGAACTTGCGGTGGATGATGCTGACCATGCGCTCGATCTCTTTCGGGGAGATGGGGCGTGTCCGGCTCTGCTCACGCAACAGGTTCATCACGTGGGTGGTGAATTCGTTGCAGGCCTGGAAGAAAAAAAAACAACAGCAAAGGAAGGCCATAAGCGAGGGGTGGGGGTCTGGAAATCCTAGCACCCTGGAGGAGAAAGAAACTCTTTCACAGTCAAGGCCGGGAAGAAACCACGTGCAGTATTCGCCAGCCGAGTGTGCAGGTGTGCTGGACGAAACCGCTGGGCGTGACTGCAGCCGCCGATTCTAACGACACTCGTCACTTCGGACACTGTCGGGCGACAACATGTGAGACGCAGCAGCATTGGAGTGTGTGGGAAATAAAAAACGATCGACGCATGCACGGAACTCAGCCCCGCAACCAAACCAGGACTACGCGTCGGAAACAGATGAACTGAGGGAAAAATGCCCTCTTTCTCTTACTTGACTTGCGGAAAAGAAGCAAATACTAAAGACACTTTATCTCTAAAAGCGTCTGTGTAACCACAGACCCCTAGGAACTAGGGATTGTTTCTCCCCTGACGATTTGAGCTCAGTGTGGGCTCAGAGAGCTGATGTCTGAACCTGCCCTGATCTCACTGTCATTTCGTTTTTGCAGAAGGAGGGTCAGATGCTTTCAGACTGCGGGAGAGGGACTCCTGTTCAGCGTCACTGAGGAGGTTGGACTGTCTAACGCAGGATGGAGCACAGTCACTGTGATGAGAATGCCAACTGAAATAAGTCTTAGCCTAAGAAGGTGTGGTATAAATGCCTGTCTCCTACTGTCTCCTATTTGTAAATGAAAATGGGTGCACACTGAATTCGTGAAACACTCACATCCAGCACAGCACCAATATTAATAACCAGGGAAGGATAAACAGCAGTAAAATATAGCCGAGCCAAAGGCCTCATATATATTACTGTGAACAATTTTTCTTATATTCTGTAAATACAATGAAGCAACACCACCTCAGGCAAAAGGCATTAATATGCAATAATCACAATGATCAGTCAGCAGCCAATGAATAAGTGACCGCCGGTGAGCTGTTTTTTTTTAAATATATTACATCAAACAAACCTGATTAATGCTTTTTTAAAGCAACTGTTAATCGGAAGAAGCTAAAAACACTCAGGAGTATTTCTGATAAGGCAGATAATGTTCTTCTCAGCTGTGATCAGCTTAACGATCAGACACGGGAGAAGGTAATATTTCATTCTGCTGTGCTAAATGCCACTAGTGCAGGTGCCACCAGGAGAGAGGGAAAAAAACCTCTCGTGACATTTTAGGTGGAGAAGACAGGTCACGCATGTCTATGCTTTACCATGCAGAGCTACTGAAAGAGTGCAGATCAGAGTCAGGGTTGCCATCTTCTGTTCCTTTACTTCTACCGACAGCGTAACAGTTCGCAAACATCATCAAAGCCTCGCTACCGGACTGTATACAGAAGAAATGTGGACTAAGAATTGTACCTGATTTCCGCTGGCAGCATTTCCTGAGAAACTCGGATTGCCACTCCTTCCGCACAGGGATACCATCTTAAACATACAAATTGTTAACATGTGATGGCGGGACCTTCATTCCATTGGATTATTCTTTCTTTCAAACTGCCCGTAGGTGAACCAGTCGATGGCAACCCTGTTATCCGATGGGCCACCTCCTTCTGTGGGACCGCGATCTCAAACACTCTCTCCACAGAACAAACAAATCCATGGGAAACTACACAAGAGTTACCATTGCAAACACCAGCACAGCCTGAGCTCCAGAACCCACATTTCCTGATTATACTTTTACAGCATCACAGACAGACAAGCGATAGAAGTACAGGTACTCCCCGACTTATTTAAGGTTGCCACACAACCTTAATTGAGTTGAATTTTTTAAGTTTAAAAAGCACTTTTATATACAGTAACACATTCACAATTACAACTATTAACCATCCATTATCAAACCACTTTATCCAATACAGGGCCACAGGGGAGCTGGAGCCTATCCCAGCAAGCAGTGGGCACAAGGCAGGGTACACCCTGGACAGGACACCAGTCCATCACAAGACACACAGACACACACACACTAACACACCCTGGACAGGACACCAGTCCATCACAGGACACACAGACACACACACTCACACCAGGACCAGTTATCCCAGAAGCCAATTAACCCACCAGTATGTCTTTGGACTGTGGCAGGAAACCCATGTGAACAAGGGGCAAACACACAAACACCACGCAGACAGCACCCCAGCAATCGAACCCAGGGCCCCTGTGCTGTGTGGCAGCAATACTAACAACTGCACCACTGTGCGGCTCACAACTGTTATCATCATCCTTATTATTATACTAAGGATGTACTAGGACTGTACTAATGCAAATTTACTTTAATACTAAGAGTGCACGCTTGTGGACTAACTGAATGGCTCTTTTTCATTGAGTTAGCACCCTTCACATCACTGGAATAACATTCAGCCAAGCCTAAGAAGGTAAAACTGCGAACACGGGGAAGATACACAGACTGATTGATGCAAGTCCGGGAGTACCTGTACATCCAGACATCACGTGCTGCGAAATCCAGCTAATCACACAGATTTTTTCAAATCAAATGTTCTACCCATGCTGAGCAACCAAGGTGCACAGAATCCGCAGAGGAGTTAATTCAGTTTGCATTCATCAATTCAGTAGTACAGCAGTGCCGCGGGAAAGTGGAAATGGCAGTGTGATCGCCTGCAGTCGGACAGCTCTAGATGAGTGGTGATGAGGATCCACGCCTGTCGACCGATGCTGGGTCTGAGCTGCTACAGGCCCACCGCCACGGGTGACCGGGCGGGGCTCGGCAGGGAGAAGTCAAGACGACGCTACCGGGAAGCCCTCGCGGACGAAGCATCATGCGAAAGCGCGAGACTACAGCGACGGAGGCGGTGGGGGCCCTCGCCCTCCTACTGAAGAAGCACCACCCCGCCAGCACGCGATGCAGCGTTTTAAAAAAACTACAAGAATTAACAACCACTGAGAGTCAGGACCTCGGTTTTACGTCTCACCCGAAGGACGGAGCCTCTTTCTGGTCTAGTGTCCCCATCACCATACTGGGGCATCAGGACCCACACAGACTGGAGGGTGAGCGCCCCCTACTGGGCCCACTGCCACCTCTTCCAGCAGCAGCCTCGGCTTTCCCAGGAGGTCTCCCCTCCAGGTACTGGCCGGGCTCGCGCCTGCTGGGCTCCAGTGGCAGAGTGATAGAGGTGCTATAACTCTAGGGGTGCCAGTAGAACAGGGGGTCCTCTATAACGGAGACTTACGGCAAAACTCATGAAAACCAGAGGAAGGGCAGC